CGATAGCAAGATACCATCTATTAGGATTAACACGTGCAAACGAGCTCTGTTTGGTTGCTGGCTCATTCGAAATAGAAATCGAAGGGTTGGGAGGGTCCCATCTCGCTAATTGAGAGCCATCCTCTCTCGAGTTTTTCTTGAGCAGTCCACATTTTACCAGCTCTATTTTCATCCAATAAGCTATTTTTCGTAACATCCGCGTCAAAGCTTAAGATAAAACGCTGCGAGAACTATCTACTCTGTTTCAAAGTACCAGATGTGCTCGAGAAAAGACCACACACCATATGTGACGACGACCTCTATTAATCTGGTAACTACCTGTTCAAGTGACACTGATAGTTGGTAAATGATTGATGTAACTGGTGACAATGATAGCATAGAAGTGCAAATAAAACTGCCAATCATTTCATTAGGCAGAAAACATTCACATTCTGTGAAGGCCTTTCTCGCTTTTCTTATGTGGTCTGCACTCAACGAGCATTTGGTTCTTGGAAAGAGGGTATACACTACTTTTCCTACCTTACCATGCCCTACTCTCCGGAGTTTGTTCAAGGTTCAGAGAAAATGCAAGATTTGGCACGAGTTCTACCCAATTTGGGCCTTTGCGGTGGAACTACTTCGAGTCATTCAGCGACCAAAGGTTATCGATACAGCAGGCGCATGCCCCGAGCAGGGTCAACAGTCTGCAGCAACTTACCAACAAAGAAGTCGTCTTTAGATCTGTCGAGTCACAATCAGATACCATCGAAACAGTCATGGTTGCTGATTTGGTGGGGTGGGAAAGATGAAGGTAGATTATTGCTCCAGGGCTGTATTCCCCATTAATGTCACGGTAGACTTTGATGGCCCAGTTCCTGGGAGAGTTCATCAATGACGGTGTACGCAAACTTCCTGAACGTGGTGGACAACTGCTAAAATAGCGACTTTGAAAAGTAGAGGTTCAGCTTCTTGTTTCTGTGAGACAAAGTAATGGCTTAAGAGGTATTCAGCTAGCTCTGCGATTTTGAAAGAAGCCATGAAGGCGGCAGCGTCCCATTTTTCTGGTCAATTATAAATCGGGTGATATCTACTCGGAGGCGAACTATGTACTACATACGCGTTTCCCACGTACTGTTGAGGAAAGTGGTATCTGAGAAAGGAACGAAAAACAAGGAGGTTTTGGCTCACTCGTCAAAATTATCCATATAAAGTCACCATCAGAATATAAACAATTGGTATTTAGAATCCTTCTGAATATGCCCCCATCTTTTTGCGAAAAATACATTTTTCCTTTTCTATTCAGTAACCTAGTCAACCACGTGACTGGTAATTGTGTCTGAATGGCGTGGGAGAATCTCGCCATGGTTTCGATGTTTTCTACAACTGACTCTTCCTCGTTGGTGACTTTGTCTTCCTTGTTACTTGCACCAAAAAACAAGCACTTTACGTCCAATCCGTCTAACAATCGCTTCTTCTTCTTCTGACTGATAAACCTCTCTAGCGCCATTTCGTGAATTTGTACATTACACTTACAGCAAAGGCTGAATCGCAATCTCTGTGAATTAACAACTTTTACTGTAAAGTTTACCTTCGAAGTGAGTTTTTTGATTTTGTAGGTAAAAAGTGCTGAAGTGGAACAATCACGGACAACGCCGCAACTTGTCGACAATAGCTGTTTCTTGACAAGTCGCTAAAGGCCCATCATTCACCTATCGACCGTCCGAGTCAATGATATCTATAGCGTTATGGATGGTATATGCCCTAATCGGCTACTTTCTTCTGAAACGACTCATTCTCGAGCACATTTACATTGATCACCGTGGAAAGTATGTGTTCATCACTGGCTGTGACAGCGGTTTCGGTCGATTACTTGCACTTAAATTACTGAAAATGGGAGTGAACGTGTTCGCCGGATGTTACACCGAAAATGTGAGTCCAGTTTACAATTCTTTGCGACTTGATTTTCACTTATACCTCTTTTAGTCATCTATCTAGGCTATATTTTCATTATCCTAAAAATTCGATTTAATTTTTCAAATTCGAGTCATTCGAGCCATAAAAATTTCCGCCCTCTAAAATCCCACGAAAAACGCCGTTTCCAAAAGAAAATAAGGGCGAAGACTTGCACGTCGCCTGTTCTTCGCAAGCATAAGCACAATGTAAATTATTTTGGAGGAATACAGTCAAAAACACTTCATTATTCGATACATCGATGAAGCACAGAGCATTCGGCGCTGATCACTTTCTTTCTGGATGAGCCATGCATTCTACTTCCACTTTGAATTTCTGGGTACTTTGAATGCGATTTGGCATGGACATTATCATTCGAGGGCAACCCGATTTACAAGTCGGTGTTTTAATCCTCCACACATTTCTGGTACCATCAGCAAACCACGAAGGGCTGTGCGGTACCCAACCCAGGACTTGATCCCCGAATCCTCTGGATTGAATGCAGCGCCATTGCCACCACACCACCTCCTCCTCGATACTTGTTACATGATAAGAGCGAATGTCGCCACATGTACAGTTGCGGTGAAAAGTGTCGGCTGGATCGTTTTCATTATTTGTTCGTATTCGCTCAAAAGTGTCCTTCGAATATTAATATGGCATGCCTTTTGAAGCCTTTGAAAACTGGACTCTTGAGAAGTTTCGATATATGAAAGAAATGCTTCAAAGCAATCTTCAAATCTTTCTTTGGGGAAAGCAGTGAAATCACGAAAAAGCGTTTCGGCGAACAATTTTGAAAGCTACTGTATATCCGTTGGTACGTGACTAGGAGGTTTTCTAGAGTCTTTCACTGAATATTGCAGCGTCTTTCCAACTGACCAATTCTTCATTTACTTTTTCATTTTTTTCAATTTTCTTTCATTCATGTTTAGTCTTGATTTAGTGCAGTATCACAGCAGAGATTGTGCTCAACGCAGAAACCGCTAAGGCTCATTGGTTTCAATTATTTGTTGACTGCATTCGGAAACTGCAGAAATGCTCCTGTTGTGTCAAATGAAAATCTGGAATGGGCTCGGCACATTTCAACTCTCCTCTCAAGAATCCGTAAATCGATTGAATCTAGTATTTGCTTCCAAAGTTGTACCTGTGCGCCAGCTAATGACAAGCAGAAAGCTACTCTAAACACCCAAAAATGAGGACCCTTACATAAGAGAATCACTTTCATGCTTCACTTTGTGCTATGGTCGCTATCGCAAGAAACGGGGCATTCATTTAATACCGCGTGAAACATCGCAGTTTTCTTAGAAATGACCACGAGCTCTAGAAGGTAAAAGAAGGGTGTCTTAGAGGATGCCCCTATCTTGCAATTACCCCACCC